AAAAAATGGTTGTTAGATTACAATTTAGAGTATGTTCTTTCATATTATTTATCTTTATTTGAGAGAGTCATTATAATTAGTCTTAATTTGCAGACCATGATCAGGAACCTTAGTTTGCTCAAGGGGCCCAGTGAATATCTTTTTTTTTTTTTTTTTTTGGGTACTGGTGATTGAACCCAGTAGCACCTAGCTGTTGAGCTACATCCCCAGCTTTAAAGATAGGGTCTAGAGAAGCTGCTGAGGCAGGTTTTGAACTGGAGATCCTCCTGCCTCAACCTCCCCAGCTGTTGGGATTTACAGATGTGTCCCATTGCACCCAGTGAGTATCCTGTTTTTAAAGATGTGTAGATCTCCCAGTGATAGGGGAAATTGAAAGAGAGTAATCTTTTTTAAAAAATAATGTTACTACTGGGTCTGGGGTTGTAGCTCAGTTGATAAAGCGTTTGCCTTGCATGTTTGATGCACTGGGTTCCATCCTCAGCACCACATAAAAACAAATAAAATAGAGGTATTGTGTATGTCTACAATTAAGAAAAAACCTTTTAAAAAGTTACTGTATTTTTTAATACCTTTATTTATTTTTATGTGATGCTGAGGATCGAGCCCAGTGCCTCTTAAATGCTAGGCAAGCACTCTACCACTGAGCTATGACTGCAACTCTGAATGAATAATTTTTTGCTTGGTATTTTATTATTTTTGTTTTGATTTAAATCATTTTATTGTTTTACACGATGTCTCCTTTTTCCCTCTCTTTAGGAGAATACTCTCCTTTTGTTCTAGAAGTTATTTGTTTTCTTTGGAATTTTGAAAAATTATATCTTGCTAGTTATTTCTTTAAATTACTTGTTTTTGTTCCTTTTAAATATGTATGTATTATGGTACTGGGGATTGAACTGGAGGCCCCCTACCATGGAAGCTTTCTTATTTTGAACAGGGTGTGGTTGTGTTGCTGAGACTGACCTTGAATTTGTGATCCTTCTTCCTCAGCTTCCAGAATTACTGAAATTACAGGTATAACCATGCCTGGCTTATGTCAACTTTTATTTATTATTTATTTATTTATTTATTTAGGTGCTGGGGATTGAGCCACATCTGTAGCTCTTTTGTGTATTTTATTGAGTTTTTTAGGGCCTCACTAAATTGCTGAGGCTGGTTTTGAACTCATGATATTCCTGCCTCAGGCTCCTAAACTCCTGGGATTATAGGCATATGCCACTGCATCTGGTGTGTTACTATTGTATTTTTTTGGGGGGTGAGGGGAGTGGGAGTACTGGGGATTGAATTTGGGACACTCAAATACTGAGACACATCCCCAGCCCCATTTTGAATTTAATTTAGAGACGGGATCTGAATTGTTTAGTGCCTCATTTTTACTGAGGCTGGCTTTGAACTCAATCCTTTTGCTCCAGTTTCTGAGCTGCTGGGATTACAGGCCTGTGTTACCCTGTCTGGCATGTTACTGGTTTTTAATGATCTCTAACATGTTGCTGCCTACCTTAAAACTTTAGGTGATCCATTCCAATTGAAGAATGAGGTGATAAAAATCTGGGAGTTGTGTGTATATTTGCTTATTGAATGGCTGCTAGGTTGTAGCACCCTGAAAAGCCACAACTCTTTGTGGTGCTAGCGCCCTAAATTAGCTTGTTATTTACATTATGAGATAATCTACTTTTCTTTTTTGTATGGTTGCTATGCTTGTATGTTTGTTCATATTCGTGTACACTATGATATGTTGAGTTTGTTCATGTAATTTCCTTTCAATCATTTGTCCCACTCTGCCTCCTTTTGTATCAGCTATACCTAGAGTTTCTCAGTCCAAAATATCTGGGCTTTCTACATGTATATGTGTTTTGCCTTCCACAYCTGTGTTTAGGCCATGGGTCCATTTTCTTATTTCATCAGTTATTGGGCCTCCAGACAGATCAGAAATGACGAATGGCCTCCTTTTCATTATYACAGTTTTATTCTTTTATAATGATTATTCTTTTTTCCGTCTTTTTACTTTTCACCTTTTAGTTTTGGGAATTGAACCTAGGGCCTTTAACATGCTAAGTATGAGTGCTACCACTGGCGTACCCAGTCTTTTTTTCTCCCTTTTTCTTTTTTGAGTTAATTGCATATTGAACGCAGGGGTGCTCTACCACTGAGCTACAACCCCACATCTTTTTATTTTTTGAAAAGGTCTCACAAAGTTGCCGGTGTAAGCCTTGAACTTGCCACTTTCCTGCTTAGCCTCCTTAGTCACTGTGATGACAGTGACAGTGACGATGGCAGGCTCTTTTCCTTTTTAATAGACTGGATGCCATCATGAACTCCAAATGTATTTGTGAGGATACTAATGAAGAGGCTAAACAAGTCCAGTATCTGAGTTTTAATATTTTTGTTATGACAGTGATTATAGTTTCCTGTAGTTTTGGCAGTATTGGGGTTTGAACCCAGAGCCTTGCACATGCTAGCAAGTGCTGTACCTCTGAGCTAGGCAAGTGCTGTACCTCCTTTTTAAAATTTTATTTTTGAACAGTGTCTTGCTTAGTTGGTGATGCTGGTCTCTAACTTGGGATCTTCCTGCCTCAGCCTCCCCAGTTGCTGGGATTATAGGTATGCACCACTGTGTCTAGCTTTTTAAATTCTTTTGGGGGGTGGTGGTGGTGATGGTAACTGGGAGTTGATTTCAGGGCTTTTAACCATTGAACTACATCCACATACCTTTTTATTTTTTTATTTTGATATAGGTCTCACTAAGTTCCTGAGGCTGGCTTCCATCCTCCTCCTTTTGTGATTCTCCTGCCTCTGCCTCCTGAGTCTTTGGGATTACAGGCATATGCAACCATGCCTGGCTGCTTTAAGTTGTCAACACAGTTTTGCTTGCTTGCTTTCCTGCCTTTCTCTTTCTTTTCATCCTCCCTCTGTCAGAGAGATACAGTGATTAATTCCATTGCCTTTCTGTATATCATTTTCTGCTCAATTAAAACAATATAAAACATTGTAGTTTTGAGTCAGAAAGTTGAAAAATATTAATAATGGCTACCTTTTTATCTTAAAAGATGGTTCATTAGCAAACAGCTCAATGGTAATTATTGATTCTAGTGTATAAACCCTGTTTTTAAAAAGAATCTCCATGTCAGTCATCAGTTCTTTTTGGTCATACCATAGCCGTATAGACATACAGTTTTTGTACATGTTGATATTCTAGTTGAATTAAGCCATTTCTGGGATTTACGCGATCTATCAGTGCTTTCCCATGATGGAAGAAACTCGAGAATAAAAGTGCTTCTTGCTTCATTGTCATATTAGTGTGGTTAACAGTGTGTGTGTGTGTGTGGGGGGGGCACTGGAGATTGAACCCAGGGGCACTTAACCACTGAGCTTCATTCCCAGCCTTTTATTTATTTTTTGAAAAAAAAAAATTTGTAGTTTTAGATGCACAGAATGCCTTTGTTTATTTTTATGTGGTACTAAGGATTGAACCAGTGCCTCACACATGCTAGGCAAGTGTTCTGCCATTGAGCTGAAGTCCCAGCCCCCCTTTTAATTTTTATTTTGAGACAAAATAAATTGCCTAGGGCTAAGTTGCTGAAGCTGGCTTTGAACTCATGATCCTCCTGCCTCAGCCTGTGGAGCCAGTGGGGTTACAGGTTTGTGCCACTGGGTGGGGCTCATTAAAATTAACATGTAGATATAGCRCATTCAAAATTAACATGTACATATAGCACAAATTTCATGAATTTATATAATAGAACTCAAAGAAGTTTTGGTTACTTTCTGACAGTTTTTTTGGGGGGTCAGGGTACTGAGGAGTGAACCCAGGGTGCTTAACCACTGAGCCAGTCCCCAATCCTTTCTATTCTTTTTAATTTTGAGACAGGGTCTTGCTAAATATCTTAGGGCCTCATTCTCCTTAGCTGCTGGGACTACAGGGATACAGCATCAATCCAGCTAAATATTAGGCCATCAAAACAAATAAATCTAGAGGGTTTATTCAGGTTTTTCCTTCAGTTTCATGACCTGTTGCATATCTGTTGTTTGGATTTGGTTGATTACTCCCTCTGTTCCTATGTCCTTTATCTTCTTGTTCTTGAATTTCCTGGCAGATTGGTAGTTAGCTTGTATTCAAATTCCATTTGGGGTGTGGGCAAGAATACATCATAGGTGGTACTGTGTACTTCATAATGTATGACATCAGGAGTCACTTGATTCTAGTTGTTTATTTGATCTTTAAAAATGATCTTTATGGAAGTATACTTTACAAAATTCTCCAGCTTTAAGTGTACAGTTTGATCAATTTTGACAAATGTGTACAGTGGCATAACCATCACAATCAAGTTATTGACCTGTTGTCCCCCCAATTTTTTTTTTTTTGCTTTATTGTCATTCTCTTTACTCTCTGCAACTGATCTAATTTTTATCACTGTAATTTTTCCTATTCTAGATTTTTATTTGAAAAGACAAATTTACAAATTTTAAAATATTAATTGGCTTTATTTRCTATTCTAGAATTGGGCAACATTTCTATAAAATAGAGAACAAATGTTCTAATGGGTTGAGTCTATGTTGGTTTGATAGACCGAAAAGGGTTGGAGGAGAAAAAGCTTGTTAGTTATTTCACAGTTAATCTTATAAGGTGGGGGGAGGTGATAAAATAGGTTACTTTTTAAAGCAGGGAGAGTGTCAGTATTCTTCTGCCAGTTTGAAACTGGTCTGTTTGGAAAATTTGGCTATTGCCTCTCTTCCCTTGTTATTTGGAAGGCTTCATAATAAAAATTTATTTAGTTTGGTGATATGGAACTTTAGTATGAGTGACTCCCTTTTGATTTCTGTTCTGGTCTTTTAGGGCCTAGGGCAGGAACTCAGTCCAAAAATAGTGGATTTCTATAATCACTACTTAACAATTAGATGGAATCTCATAGTAGTAGGATTACTRTAATTTAAAGGAGATATAGTATAAGAAGATAATTTTGGCCAGGAGCTAAGGTCTAATTCCTTCCATTTTTGTATGACAGGGACTTGCCATGAGGTGTTGAAGCCTTGTTTCACTGAGTTGGAGAGACTGGACCTAAATGGCGCAGCATGACTTTGCTCCAGCCTGGCTTAATTTTCCTACTCCACCATCATCAACAAAGGTACTCTTTCTTGCATCTCTCTTTCTGCTTCGCTTTTGCTCATGTTATACTCAAGTATATTCAGAATGTGAAGGCATGGGCTGGAGGTGTGACTTGTGTATAGGCCATCATGCTGATGATTTTGATTCTGAGAATTTGGAAGTGGCTAAAGTCTGAATTCTCCTAATTGAATATTATCTCCTGAAAGTGATTATTACTCTGAACTCTTAACTTTTTGAGTATTTGAGATTTTTTTTCTCCCTTACCCAAAGTGTTCTGACAAACACAAGCATTTGCTGCCATTTTCTTTATTTTTGCAGTGCTGTGGCTTGAACTCCGGGCCTCAAGCATGCTAGGCAAGTGCCTTACCACCAACCTACATACCCAGCCTGTGATACTTCTTTTATTATGTCTTCTCCCTGCTCTGTCCTTTCATCTTTTAAATCGCTAGTCATGGATTTCCATTTGTAATTACTTGTTCTCTGCTGGAGACTTTTGCTTGCCTGTATCGTTTCTCCCCTTTTAATCTTGTCCTGAATAAATGGAACAGACATTAATAAGTATTGCATTCTCTGTTTTAGTGTAATGGTAGTCTTTCATTTATTTTTGTTTGGAACGGAGATATAAAGACTTTTGAATTATGAGTAAAAATGTTTTCAGAACTACACAGATGTGGTTTTCTGAGATGTGTAGAATTTTAGCCCCATCATGTGGTGAAATGCTAAATTGCATGTGACTTATTTTTTCTGTGGCTCAGGGCCTTGGCTTTTGAATTGCTGTGAGTATTCCTATAAACGATTTAATCTTTCATTAAATTGATTTAATCTTCTTGGCCTGCAGTTTGAAAAGTAACATCTTGACTATTGGTAGTTATAGATGCTGAAAATTTTAGCTAACTGGAAAATTCCCTTGTTTTAGATGATTCTCATTTCCATCAGTTTACTTTAGGACAGATGCTAAAATAATTCTGTAAAACAGGCAAATGAATCTTTTCAGAATAGTAATTCTGAAAGAAGATACCAAGAGTGTTGTTTGTATTAAAATGGTTAGATGGATGGTAAGAAATAAAAAAAAAAGTAGGGAAAGTTTTCTTCTTTCTAAACACAAAATAAACATGTTAAGATATTCTGCAGTGGCTTCATTTTCATATTTGTATTTTAATATTCTGTAATTATTATTCTGTGGCTGCAGAGTGTAGATTCTTTTATGACAGTGTTTAAAAAGTAATGATCGGGGTGGGGATATAGCTCAGTTGGTAAAGTGTTTGCCTTGCATGCACAAGACCCTAGGTTCAATCCCCAGCACCATCACCAAAACACAGAACAAAAAAGAAAAGGAATGATCAATAATATTGTACTAACACTTTAAAAATATAAGCAATGTCAGCATGCATTGAAAATGTGTTTCTATTGATGTTTTTAAACTTAAAGAGAATTAGCAAATTCAGTGAGCTTGATGGTTGATCATTGAAACTTTTGAGTTCATTGAAACCTTAGGTAGAAAAGTTTACTATGTAGATTTTTAAAAATTCTAGTCATCAGAGAAAATTTAAAATAAACCATGCCCTGCTAGTGTTTACTTCTTCATAGTACTTTTTCCAGCTTTAGTTTTTTCCCCAGTGATATTCTCAGTGCACGTTTTTATTGCTGTGTTGAATATMCATAAGTAGTATTACAATAAATAGTTTAAAATTTTAAACTCTTTTTTAAAAATCTAGAATACAATAGTGTAAGAGAGTGGATGAAGATGATCTCTTCCTTGCCCCTTACAATAATATTTCTTTAAATATTACTACATGCCAGTCACTGTGAAAAATAGTTTATATGAAGGTAACAGAAGTCATAAATGRTAGGCAGTTGCTTATCACCCCATTTAAAAACAAGGCAACTGAGGTTGAGAGCATCTAAGTAACTTGCCTGAAAGTATTAGGGCCGGAATAGGTGCCTATATGTGCCCAGAGCTTGGTACATGGTAGGCATCATTCTACCAGTAAGCCACATCCCTCAGTCCCAAAATGCATCAGTTTAATAACTTTCTTATTAGGAAATAGACTCATTTTCAAAAGTGAAGTGCCATGATGTTTTTATGCATATACTTGAATATATTTTTGCTGTTTCCCTCCACACACAGTACATGAAACATGGTACTACTTTGTTTTGATCTGCTTTGTTTAATTATGATCAATATTTATATGTGTGGAACTGTTTCTTGGTGATTTGTAATAACTTTTTATATTAAGGGACTCATTTGCCATTTTGTTGCAAATATTTTTCTTTCTTTTCTTTCTTTTTGGTACTTGGTGTTGAACCTGGGGGTACTTGGGCCACTGAGCCACATCCCCACCCCTATTTTATATTTTATTAGAGACAGGGTCTCACTGAGTTGCTTAGCACCTCGAATTTGCTGAGACTGGCTTTGAATTTATAATCCTCCTGTCTCAGCCGCCTGAACTGCTGGGATTATAGGCACCACTATGCCCTGCTAGTGTTTACTTCTTCATAGTACTTTTTCCAGCTTTAGTTTTTTCCCCAGTGATATTCTCAGTGCACATTTTTATTGCTATGTGTTGAATATCAATAAATAGTATTGTTTATAGTTTAAAAGCTTACATAAAGGATTTTTTGTTTTGTTTTTATACTTGTTATCTTTGACCTTTGTTACCATGTTAATACCTGGAGATTTAGTGTTAATTTTTTCAGACTTTGTGTAGTATTCTATTTTGTGTCTTTCTTTCTCCATTCAAGTTTAAATTGTTTATAACTTTTGTCTACTATAGAGAGAGTATTGCATTGAATATTCTTGTAATAAAAATACAAAAAATTTTTTCATGCCTGATTCCCAGACTTTAATGGATGTGAAGAAAAAACAAAAACAAAACACAAAAAACTTTGATGGATGTGAAGAAAAAACAAAAACAAAACACAAAAAACTTTAATTGATGTGAAAATAACCTGGAATTTAAAAAAAGATTTATTTATTTATTTAAATTATAATTCTTAATACACCATTATACAATAATTTATCATCTCCGATTATATATAAGGTATGTTGACACCAAATTCACATCTTTATACATGTATTTTGTATAATAATGAGAGTCTCCTTTCAACATCCATGCTATTCCCCTTCTCCCTCCCTTTCCCTCCCACCCCTATTCCCTATCTAGAGGTAATCTTCCTCCCTTGCTCTCCCTCCCAACCTCATTTTGAGTCACCCACCTTATATGCCTTATATCAGAGAAGAAAGACATTTGGCATTTGTTTTTTGGGATTGGCTAACTTCACTTAGCATAATCTGCTCTAAATGCCATCCATTTCCCTGCAGATGCTATGATCTTATTTTTTTATATTGCTGAGTAATATTCCATTGTGTATAAATGCCACAGTTTTTTAAATCCATTCATCCACTGAAGGACATCTAGGTTGGCTCCTCAGTTTAGCTATTGTGAATTGTGCTGCTATAAACATTGATGTGGCTGTGTCCCTGTAATATGCTGTTTTTAGGTCCTTTAGGTATAATCCGGGAAGAGGAATAGCTGGGTCAATGGTGGTTCCATTCCCAGTTTTCTTTCTTTCTTTTTTAAAGAGAGAGAGAGAGAGAGAGAGAGAGAGAGAGAGAGAGAGAGAGAAAGAGAGATAGAGAGAGAGAGTTTTTTAATTTATTTTTCGGCGGACACAACATCTTTATTTGTACGTGGTGCTGAGGATTGAACCCAGGCCGCATGCATGCCAGGTGAGCGCGCTACCGCTTGAGCCACATCCCCAGCCCCATTCCCAGTTTTCCAAGGAATCTCCATACTGCTTTCCAAATTGGCTGCACCAATTTGCAGTCCCACCAGCAGTGTATGAGTGTACCCCCCCCCCTCCTCTCCATGGAAATTTTGTTAGAATGCAGATTTTGATTAATTAGGTTTCTGGTAGAGCCTAGATCTTAATAAACTACCAATGTGATGCTGATTTCTGCCTGTGTATAGACCATATTTTGAATAGTAAAGCTCTAAGTAGGGGCTGGGGATTGGCTCAAGTAGGTAGCGTGCTCGCCTAGCATGTGTGAGGCACTGGGTTCGATTCTCAGCACCACATAGAAACAAAATAAAGATATTGTGTTCACCTAAAACTAAAAAATATATTATAATTTTTTTGTTTTGCATATATTTGAGTAGAATTTATGACTTTTTAGGACTTGTTACTATTTTAGTTTTTGGTACTGGGGATTGAACCCAGGGATGTTTAACCACTGAGCCACATACCCAGCGGGGGGGCCCCCCCCTTTTTTTAAAAATTTTTACTTTTGATACAGGGTCTTGCTGAGCTGCTTAGGGCCTTGCTAAATTGCTGAGGCTGGCCTTGAACTTGTGATCCTCCTGCTTTAGCCTCCCAAGTCCCTAGGATTACAAACGTGTATGCCACCATGTCCATCATTGTTGCTATTTTAAATGTTTTAAAAACTTTCTAGTAGATATATTGTATCTTATGTTAGTCTGATATCTAGCAACCTTGATTAATTCATAGTTTGTAATAGTCTGTGTTGGCTTTTTATGTGGATGATAATATTTTATCTTTCCATTCACTCAGTTTACTGTTTGTGAAGAGTCTTTGAAAGGTCTGGATCCCTCCTACCCGCCCCCRCCTCCACCCCAAGCTAGGCTGTTACTATTTCAGGGATGCTGGTGGAAGACAAGAGATGCTTTGGGCATAGACAAGTTTATTACTGAAGATGTAGCAAGCAGTAAAAAGGCATGATGTAGGCACTGGTTCTTCATGTCTCCTGAGATCCTTGGGAGTTAACAAGAAGGGGCCTCACTGGAGACTGCCTTTGCACTGAGTTTAGGGAATCAGGTAATTACATTTATAGTCAACCTGGTCTCTTTGTTCCAGAGGAGAATATTACTTATCCTTCAGTGTTGCTTGCTGCAAACATAGCCCTAAGAAGTGACCCACACAAGAGTGGTCACGGATTTGCATTTTTAGTGTACAAAGAAGAATGTATAGGGATGTTCAGATCTCATGATATATTGCCTA